GTGCAAGCGGCCACACTAAGCACATTAATTTGGCAGTGTGCGTCCGTGTACCGAGGATAGCGTCAACTTCTGGAGCGTTGCACTGTGGGTAACTATCCCATAGCTATCCCATAGTTCCTGCAGTCTCCCCCACCCATTGGAATTCTGGGTTTCGATCCCAATGCCTGATGGGCCAAAAAACATTGTCGCTGGTGGTTCTGGGTACATCCTCCCTTTCCCTCTGTGAAAGCAACAGCAGACAACTGCTTTGCACCTTTTTTCCTGGGTGAACTGTGGAGATGCCATACCACGGCAAGCATGGAGCCCGCTCAGCTCAAGACAGCAGTCATGAACATTGTAAACACCTCGCCCATTATCATGCAGTCTATGCTGAATCAGGACCTGAAAAACCAGTCGAGGAGGAGGCGGCTACGGCAGCACGGCGACGAGAGTGATGAGGACATGGACACAGAATTCTCTCAAACCGCAGACCCCAGTGCTTTGGAGATCATGCTGTTAATGGGGCAGGTTATAGCCGTGGAACGCTGATTCTGGGCCCGGGAAACAAGCACAGACTGGTGGGACTGCATAGTGTTATAAATAAATGAAGATATCCTATCTCCTAGAACAGACCTTGAAAGGTCATTGAGTCCAGCCCCCTGCCTTTACTAGCAGGACCAAGTACTGATTTTGTCCCAGATCCCTAAGTGGTCTCTTCAAGGACTGAACTCACAACCCTGGGTTTAGCAGACCAATGCTCAAACCACTGAGCTATCCCTCCCCCCCAGCTCTGGGATGATGTTGCAGGTCTGGGATGATTCCCAGTGGCTGCAAAACTTTTGCATGCGTAAGGGCACTTTCATGGAACTTTGTGACTTGCTTTCCCCTGCCCTGAAGTGCCAGAATACCAAGATGAGAGCAGCCCTCACAGTTGAGAAGCGAGTGGCGATAGCCCTGTGGAAGCCTGAAACGGCAGACAGCTACCGGTCAGTCGGGAATCAATTTGGAGTGGTCAAATCTACTGTGGGGGCTGCTGTGATGCAAGTAGCCAAAGCAATCACTGAGCTGCTGCTACCAAAGGTAGTGACTCTGGGAAATGTGCAGGTCATAGTGGATGGCTTTGCTGCAATGGAATTCCCTAACTGTGGTGGGGCGATAGACGGAACCCATATCCCTATCTTGGCACTGGAGCACCAGGGCAGCCAGTACATAAACCACAAGGGGTACTTTTCAATGTACTGCAAGCACTGGTAGATCACAAGGGACATTTCACCAACATCAACGTGGGATGGCCGGGAAGGGTTCATGGCGCTCGCGTCTTCAGGAACACTAATCTGTTTAAATGGCTGCAGCAAGGGATTTACTTCCCAGACCAGAAAATAACCGTTGGGGATGTTGAAATGCCTATAGTTATCCTTGGGGACCCAGCCTACCCCTTAATGCCATGGCTCACGAAGCCATACACAGGCAGCCTGGACAGTAGTCAGGAGATGTTCAACTACAGATTGAGCAAGTGCAGAATGGTGGTAGAATGTGCATTTGGATGTTTAAAGGGTCGCTGGCACACGTTACTGACTCTCTCAGACCACAGCCAAACCAATATTCCCATTGTTATTGCTGCTTGCTGTGTGCTCCACAATCTCTGTGAGAGTAAGGGGGAGACCTTTATGGCGGGGTGGGAGGCTGAGGCAAATCGCTTGGCCGCTGATTATGCACAGCCAGACACCAGGGCGATTAGAAGAGCACACCAGGAAGCGCTGTGCATCAGAGAAGCTTTAAAAAACAGTTTCATGACTGGCCAGGCTATGGTGTGAAAGTTCTGTTTGTTTCTCCTTGATGAAAACCTGCCCCCTTGATTGACTCATTCTCTGTAAGCAACCCACCCTCCCCCTTCGATCACAGCTTGCTTTCAAAGGAAATAAAGTCACTATTGTTTAAAAATCATGTATTCTTTATTAATTGATTATAAAAAGAGGGAGAGAACTGACAAGGTAGCCCGGATGGGGTTTGGGAGGAGGATAGGAAGGAAGGAAAAGGACACTAAAAAAGTTCAAAATAATGACAGCCTTTTGCTTGGGCTGTCCACTGGGGTGGAGTGGGAGGGTGCACGGAGCCTCCCCCTCCCCACGTTCTTACACGTCTGGGTGAGGAGGCTATGGAACTTGGGGAGGGGGAGGGCGGTTATACAGGAGCTGCAGTGGCACTCTGTGATCCTGCTGCCGTTCCTGAAGCTCCACCAGACGCCGGATCTTGTCCATTTGCTCACGCAGCAGCCCCAGCATTGCATCCTGCCTCCTCTGATCTTCCTGTCACCACCTCTCATCTCGAGCGTCTCTCCTCTCCTCATGTTGGTCCCTTCTGTCCTCACATTGGTCCCTCATGTCCTCACGTTGGTTCCTCCTGTCCTCATGTTCACTGGCATCTTTCCTGTACTTGGATACCGTGTCCTTCCACTCATTCAGATGAGCTCTTTCATTGCGGGTCGATTCCATGATTTCAGAGAACATTTAGTCTCACATCCATTTTTTTCGCTGCCTTTTCTGAGATAGCCTTTGGGACGGAGGAGGGAGGCTTGAAAAATTTGCAACTGAGGGAGGAAGGGAAAAAAGGGATAGAAGTATTTAAAAAGATACATTTTACAGAACAATGAGTATACTCTTTCACGGTGAACAACACTATTCACATTATATAGCACCTGTGATTTCGGTACAAGGTCGCATTTTGCATCTTAATATTGAGTGCCTGCGGCTTTGGTGTTAGAGATCACAGACACAGGTCCGGGCAACAGAATTCGTCTTGCATGCAGCCATGGTAAGCCTAGGGTGACCAGATCACCCAGGTCAAATATCGGGATGAGGGGGTGGGGGGGCGGTAGGGGGGGTGGAGCAAAAAACAAAAAAATGGTGGCAGAGCAAAAAAACAACCCCCCCTCCCTCCTCCCTCCGCGGCGGCCCCGGGGCAGAGGCATTGGCAGCCCAGCCCCGTTCATTCCCCTGCGGGACCCAAGCAGGATGGGGGGGTTGGGGCCTGCTGCCCCCACTCCGGGGCCGCCCGTGGGATTGCACCAGCTGGGCACCCAGCCCAGATGCGACTGGCCAGGGGCTGGGCACGCGCAGTGTGCACATTGGGTCCCTGCAACAGGCCTGAGCTCAGGGGGTTCGGGCCCAGGCGCCAGAGCCGCAGCCGCCAAGCGCCATGGCCGCTTCCGCTGGACGTGGCAGTAGGAGCTGTAGCAGCGGCTGCTCCCAAGTCCCACTGCCCAGGTGGGGAGAACAGCTGCCGCCTGGCCCCGCGGGCTGCCCCCCCTACTCTCCCTCCAGGTACCGCCCGACTGAGTCCTGCCTGCGCTCGGGGCCAGGCTGGACTCTCACTCACCCCGGCCCCGCAATCCCCCTGTGTCTCTGGGGCCTCCCTCCAGCGCTTGTGGAGGGAGGAGGAATGGCGTGCTTGGGGAAGAGGCAGGGATTTGGGGAGGGAGCCAATGGGGGAAGGAGGGGGTGGAGTCGGGCGGGGGGGCGAGCCCTTTCGGGCTCCGGAGCCTTTGCTTGTTTGTCCAGTGTCCCGACCTAACACTGGTCGGGACGTGGGACAAACAAGCAAATATCGGGACAGTCCCAATAAAATCGGGACATCTGGTCACCCTAGGTAAGCCATTGTCTTTCGGCTTCTGCAGCCTTCATAAAAGCAGCGCCCTCCTTTCCCACATACCAAGCAAAGCCCGTTGAGTGCTGCGGTTTTCCTGTTAATGTGCAGCAGCAGAAACCAAACTAACCCCCTCCATCCAATTCTCTGGGATGATCGCTTTATTCCCCCCCCCACCGCGTGGCTGGTATCAGGGAAGATCCCTGCAGAAACCAAATTAACACCCCCCAATCCAATTCTATGGGATGATCGCTGTACCCCTCCCCCCACTGCGTGGCTGGTATCAGGGAGGATCCCTGCTCGCCAAATGCAAAAAGCTCAGCACCAATGCCCCCTCTCTCCCCTTGGCTAACTGAAGGGAAGGATTTCTTTTCAGCCACAGGCAAACAGCCCAATAGGAACGGCCACCTCTGTCCCCTTAATTAAATTCCCGTATTTCAACCAGGTTACCATGAACGATATCACTCTCCTGAGGATAATACAGTGAGATAAAGAATGGATGTTGCTTGAATGCCAGCAAACACTGGGACCATACGCTGCCAGGCTTTGTCATGCAATGATACCAGATTACTTGCTACTAGCATGGCGTGGTCAAGTGTCCTACCATGGAGGACGGAATAAGACTGCACTGCCCAGAAACCTTCTGCAAAGGCTTTTGGAGTACCTCCAGGAGAGCTTTATGGAGATGTCCCTGGAGGATTTCCGCTCCATCCCCAGACATGTTAACAGACTTTTCCAGTAGCTGTACTGGCAGCGAATGCATCCCAAGTCCTCAGGGCAAATTAATCATTAAAAAATGCTTGCTTTTAAACCATGTTTTATATTTACAAAGGTACACTCACCAGAGGTCCCGTCCATGGCTTCATGGTCTGTGATACTGCCTTGGGAGGGTTGGAAGGGTACTTCATTCAGGCTGAGAAAAAGATCCTGGCTGTTGGGGAGAACAGAGTGCTGTGTGCTCTCCGCAAGCTCGTCCTCCTCCTCGTCATCATCATCATCTTCCCCGTCTGCAGAATCCTCAGCCATGGCTGAGATTACCCCCTCCTTGGAATCCACGGTCAGAGGTGGGGTAGTGGTGGCAGCCCCCCCTAGAACTGCATGCAGCTCAGGGTAGAAGCGGCATGTCTGCGGCTCTGCCCCTGACCTTCCATTTGCTTCTCCTCTGGTAGGCTTGTCTGAGCTCCTTAACTTTCACGTGGCACTGTAGTGAGTCCCTATTGTGGCCTCTCTCCATCATGCCCTTGGAGATTTTTTCAAATGTTTTGGCATTTCGTTTTTTGGAACGTAGTTCTGCTAGCACGGAATCCTCTCCCCATATAGCAATCAGATCCAGTACCTCCCGTACGGTCCATGCTGGTGCTCTTTTTCAATTCTTGGACTGCATGGTTACTGTGCTGATGAGCTCTGCGTGGTCACCTGTGCTCTCCACGCTGGGGAAACAGGAAATGAAATTCAAAAGTTTGCGGGGCTTTTCCTGTCTACCTGGCAAATGCATCCGATTTCAGATTGCTGTCCAGAGCGGTCACAATGGTGCACTGTGGGATAGCTCCCGGAGGCCAATACCGTCGAATTGCGGCCACATTAACCCTAATTCGAAATGCAATGTCGATTTCGGCACTACTCCCCTCATTGGGAAGGAGTACAGAAATCGATTTTAAGAGCCCTTTATGTCGAAGTAAATGGCTTCATTATGTGGATGTTAATTCGATTTAACGCTGCTAAATTCGACCTAAACTCGTACTGTAGACCAGGCCTAAGTTACGTTGACTTACAGCCATCACTAATTAAACTGCTTTTGCATGTCCACACTACGCTGCTTGTGTTGGTGGTGCATGTTCTCACCAGGAGCGCTTCCATCGATTTAACTGTCAGTGTGCGGCATTGTGGAACAGCTTCTGAAATACAGCAACAGTCGATGTAAGCAACGCAGTGTCTACACTGACACTATGTCGACCTAACTACATTGACTTAAGAACTACACCTCTCACGGAGATGGAGATATTAAGTCAGTGTAGTGGGTGAGTTACATGGGTGGGAGCTGCATTTTAGTGTAGACACTTCCAGAGTTAGGTCGATATAAGCTGCCTTACGTGAACCTAACTCTGTAGTGAAGACCAGGGCTCTCTTTAGCTGAAGCTAAAAGTGTACATAGTTCCATCTATAAGCAGAGGAACAACATTTAGCTCCATGTAGCAAATACAGGCAGTACAATTATTGCTAATGGGCCTGATTTGAGTGCTCAGTGCCTCTTCAGGATTTCTGTAACGGATCTTAAAAAAAAAACAGCCATTGAAGGGTTAAGTATTAGTGAGAGGCAAAAAGGGGATAGTCCCTGAAGCCTGAGGAGCATGGGAGAGAGCCCTAAACAAAAAGAGATCCTTGAAGGAGCGGTAGATGATATGTATGGTTTCTCTGTGAACAATAAGCTAAAAGTAGGCTCAATATCTTATTGTTCAAAGAAGTTTGATTTTATCAAATCTCTATAACAGATGTTCTAAAATTACACCAATTATTTGAAAAAATGCTGGCCTTACCGATATTATGACACTCCTTGTGGGAGTGCAGAAAGGTACAAACATTTGGACTCAAGAATGTACAAATCTCACAAAGATATTTGATGTTAGTCTCCCCAGGTGCCTGATGCTCTTGGTGTTGGAACGCTTGAGGATCGTTAAGATTCTGAAGTTGAATACAGCCTGTTTTCTGTCTCTTCTGATTCTTGGCATGAAAATGCATCCTTCTTGCATTATCCAAGCATCCTGTTTAGAGACTCTTTGCCAAAAGGACCAATTACATTTCATTTCCAGCCAAAAAAACAAAAACAAAATAAAAAATAAATAAAATGGATTCTGTGTCAAAATGGAGCAGTCCTACCCTCTCTTTAGGACCTGGTTCACCTCTCACTTACACCAGTGTAAATCAGGAGTAACTCTGTTGAAAGTATTTGAATTATATGGCTGTAAAACTGGTGTAGAGAGGAAGATCAGCCCTAATTTTGTAGATGGGGACTGCTGTAGTATTCTAAGGCTATGTCTACACTACCACTTATGTCGGCAAAACATATGTCACTCATGGGTGTGAAAATGTTGTTGGGCGTGGTTTAATTATGTTGACAGAAGAGCTCTCTCCTGTCGGCATAGAGTGGCTACGTGAGAGATCTTACAGCAGCGCAGCTGCATTGGTGCAGCTGTGCCACTGTAAGCTCTCTAGTGTAGACATAGCCTAAACCAATTTACTTTCTCTTCAGCTGGTATAAATCAGGTCATTCTATTGACATTAATTGGAGTTATGCCGATTTACACCAGCTGAGGATCTGCCCTTTAGAAAATAAGATTTGGATTTTCTAAGCCACCTAGAGAATTTGCATGCCCTAGTCCCATTAATTTTAAGGGAAACTGGATGGTCAAATCCTTCAAGCAGTTTTGAAAAAAACGTACCTGAGATATATGACAGTGCCTCTTTCTCAGCTACTCCAAGGTCTAAGTTAGTAGAGCAATTCGCTGACCCATTAGACATCTGATTTCAGGGCTGTTCATAGGCAAACCGTTTGGTTTCCCTCTCCCCTAGGCAGGCCATAATCCTTTGCACTGGTTGGAGAGGACTTCAAAGGTAGTGCCTACGGAATGGATAACAAGGAAGGAAAGAATCCTGATGTGCATGGATAGAAGCAGCGTAGGAGCAGCATGAGTGAATATTATACTTACATCTTTATTTCAATGTATAATTACATAAAAGGCTGTCATAGGAATAAATCTTTCTACAGTGTTACCTAGATAATACCGCAGGAAATCACAAATCTTTCTCTGTTAAAAATTAGTTAAATTCCTTTGTATCAAGAACTAGGTTTCTTTTGATAAAGAAGGAAAGCCCTGTCACAACAATAGTTCTCTCCTGAACAACAGATGATTTTTATACTTTCTTCTCTTTCCCTTGAAATATAGTCACGATTTCCCCCCACTTTCCACATCCAGGAGACCCAGGAAAATATCTTAAGGAAATATAGTTATCAATGCTTAAATGTTCTTAGCTTTCATTCACCATCAGTGGATGTATTAACCTCTTTATCCAGCTCTTCAAGAATACACCTATTCAATTCTGGTCTCACTCTTTAACAAGACATTTTAGTAAAGCTTTCCCATATAGAAGAAAGTGTAGCAGAAACAGAAAGATGCATCGTTCATGAGGGATCTGTTAAGTGAACCCCAAACTCCAAGCCACATGCCTGGGAGTGGAGCACTCCACTTGCCTCCCACTGGTCCCAACTCTCTTGCAGTTCCCTTCCACAACCATTGGGGAGGCAGGAATTAACCCCAGAGACAAATGCTGCACTCAGATAGAATACCAATGATTTTTTCTGAGCAGAGACAAAACCTTGATTAGTACAAGAGTCCCTGTGGGGAGTCATGCGAACCATCAAAGTAGTAATGCAGTATAGCGAGTAAGTCCCCAATGCAAAGTAAAACTGTCTAACCCAGCAAAGAGTCCAAAGTGCCCTCCAGTCCCACAATAAGATACTTCCGACCCCTTGTGGTGGTGCTTAGATGCAGTGTGGTTTCAGAGTGGTGAATCCCTGTTTCTGCTGCATTTCTCGGTATCCATCACTGTGATCGCTGTGCTGGTCAGGGGGCCTCTGCTATGTCTGAGCTGATCTCTCAGATGAGCTGTGGGTCCCTCCAGTAACAACATGTGCTCTGGCCTCAACCATGTTCTTCTCTTTCCAGACCCATCCAGTACGCCAACCAACTGTCACAGGGTCAACCCAATAGCCTACAACCAACCGAGGGCTCCGGGGCCAGCTCCTCCTTTTCCCACTCCCTAATCAATAATGGTTTATGAGGGATAGGTCTTGCCCTTTCACACTGCTAACATGTACATGTGGAGTGGAGGATCCAGAATGTGAGTAGACCCAATAACTTCAGTGGACTACTTACATGCTTAAAGTCACACACATGTTTAAGTGCTTTGCTAGATCAAGGACTTCAAGTACAGAGTTGTGCATATAAGCAGCGATGCACAGTTCATGTGTGTGTATTTATTGGCTGAAAGATTTCACAAGCTCTAAGGGCCAAGCTATAAGTGGAGCCTGCATGAACCTCACAAAAAGCTGTGAAAAAAGGGAACTTGCAAGCTCCATTGGTAAAGCCAACGGTGATTGTGAGGCACATCAGGTGAATGTGGAAACAGCTGCAAAGCCTATTCATTGAGATTCTGCAGTTGTTGGATCTTCCAAGAGGAGGAAGGGAGCTGACTCTTTAAATAAAGCAAATATGAAAACTTATTATTGCAACTAGTTGAAAAAGAAGTAAGGCTCAAACATTTGGGGGAAAATATGGACTGAAGACTAAGGTTGAAATTCAACTTTGTGCAGAGGGCCACCATACAGTCTATGGACCACTTAAGTCTGTCTGAAGATCTCAATATAGAGCTTAAGTAGGACATATGTGGGGTGTGCTTATGCTGATCCTAGGCACAGGGGTCATTTCAGCTCAAATGAATATTCGGAGTTCCTGCTTCAGCTGTGTGAAATGTCATTGGCATTCAGCTTTGGTCAAAGTTACGTGGATATTTGCTGGGTACAGTCAACAGTCAGATAACTGGTGCTATCATTATCAAAACAAAATGGAGAATGCAAGTATTTGGAAGGCAGCGTGGCCTAGCGGATAGAGCACTTGACTGGAAAACTGGCCCACCGTGTGCCCTTGGGAAGGCACCTCCCCATGCCTCAGTTTCCCCAGATCTAAAATGGGGACAATGATACTGCCCTCTTTTGCAAAGCACTTTGAGATCTACTGATAAACAGTACTACACAATAGCTAGTTATTATTATTTCCCCAAACAAAACTTTTAAAAATTTTGTTTTAGGAAATGAATAAAAATAGGACACGCAATTTTGCCTCCATGTCCCATTCCTCCCCTTCTCTTCCTGGGTATTACAGATTTAGAACAATCAAAGAAAACACTACCCTGTCCTAATTATATTTGTTTATATGGACATCAGCTTGCAATGTCCTTACAATTAAGATATACAAAGATGATGTGACAGTTCCCCCCACTACTCCCAGCCATGGTTCACATCAGCCAAATTCGTTTCCTTCTTGTGGGTCAGGACATAAGGAGAATGGCCATCTGGAAATTAATTCCTAACAAAGTGTAAAAAGAGAATATTTTTGTGATCTAATTCTTTAGGTAACATTATTTAATTTATTTATACAAAGAAATGAATATGAAGACAGATGCAAAATAGAGCTTGAGAGGCAAAGAGCACATTGTTCTGTTCTTATTCTGTAAAAAGCCAATTATTTTTCTTTAAGTCCTTTAGTTTCAGGGGCTGACTGAGTAGTTTAAGGGATAAAAGTATTAGCCTTTCATCTGTAGGATTCAAGTGCCAGTCCTCAAGGCAGACCAAAGCAAAATGAAGTGGGTTGTCTTATTTTGCTTCTTAACGTATTATTATATAATGGTATTATTAAACATTAGCGAATAGAGAATTGAAATCTCCAGCACTGACAGTTGATTAATTTTTTTAAGTACAAATTTTCACTCATCATCAGAAATATAAAATAAATCTTTTTAAGAAACATTCAAGAAAAAGCACAAAGATTGCTATTTTCTATAACTATAATACTCCTTACTCTAATATTGTGATCAGATTGCATTTCTTTTAGAGCTATGAAATACAATACTGATTTCATTCTTTGAAATTTAAAAGAGAGAGAAATGAGGTTTGTTTCATTAAGATCTGCAACAAAAGTTCCCAAATGCTGACAGACTGTGTCTTTAATACACATTTCCTGCACCAACACAGGCTATTTGGAAGCTAACAGTTGAATTCTAGAGGTTTCTTGCATTGCCTTGGGTAGCCATATGTCCTGTCTGCCTCGATTAGTCTATCTGCATAATGGGTATAATAATATATACCTTCCTCTCATGGATGTTCTGTAGGTTTTAATTAATCTAATTTGAATTAATATTTGAATTGCATCCGCCTAGCTGAGGGCACAATGGGATCCTAAACATCTACTCGTGTTAAAATACTCTGTTTCTTTCCCTTGTTATTGTTGCTCAATTAATTCTAAATGGCACGGCCATAATGCTAGTGCATGTTCAGACTGACAGCACGGATTAAAAGGATGATTTGCAAGTTTCAACAAATAAGCAATGTCTATTCACTTCAATAAAAAAGTAGCTTCATGGGTTTGCCATTTTCCCCTTCAACTATTCCTAATTCCAACACATGGCCATATCATATCGCCTCCTCCCTCCCCCCAGGTAAAATCCACAGGACTGAATCAGAGGAAGCTCAGGGCTTGTCTACACTTACAGTGCTGCAGCAGCTCATCTGCTCTGGTGCAGCTGTGCCACTGTACTGCTTGATGAAGTACGACCTAAGCCGAAGGGACAGCTTCCCCGAGAGGCCATAGCTATAGTCAACAGGAGAAGCCCTCCTGTCGACAGCACTGTCTACACTGGGGGTTAGGTCGGTATAACTACGTCACTCAGGGGTGTGGATTTTCCTCACCCCTGAGCGACATGGTTATACTGCCATATGCTCCTAGTGTAGACCACGCCCCAGTGAGGTTCCGCTCATAGTCCTCCCAATGGGGATAGCATGGGTGTTGTAGAGGAGATCACAACATGTGGCCTCCAATCCCATGGATCCCAGGAATCCAGGGTATAAAAGGCAGTGTGCCAGAAGTCCTCTGATCAGAAAGGGGTGTAGTGCAGCTTTCAGAACCTGGAGCAGATCCAGCCACTTCAGGAGCACATACACACTCCTAGTGGTAGTAGTTGGCACTACACCCTGCATTACCACCGCTACTCTACACACGTGTGATATTATTGGTGGGGCTTAGCCCCATTAGCCCCTAATGACCAGCTGCCCCTAGATGAAGGGGAACATTGAGCCATATATACATTTTACTTTATATCAACAGTTTTCAGATCAAAATTTCATCAAGCAAGGTCTGGAGCTGGGTTCACCCAGCAAAGGCTGAACTTATTCATAGATTCATAGATTCTAGGGCTGGAAGGGACCTTGAGAGGTCATTGAGTCCAGTCCCCTGCCCTCATGGCAGGACCAAATACAGTCTAGACCATCCCTGATAGACGTTTATCTAACCTAATCTTAAATATCTCCAGAGATGGAGATTCCACAACCCTCCTAGCCAATTTATTCCAGGGTTTAACCACCCTGACAGTTAGGAACTTTTTCCTAATATCCAACCTAAACCACCCTTGCTGCAGTTTAAGCCCATTGCTTCTTGTTCTATCCTTAGAGGCTAAGGTGAACAAGTTTTCTCCCTCCTCCTTATGACACCCTTTTAGATACCTGAAAACTGCTATCATGTCCCCTCTCAGACTTCTCTTTTCCAAACTAAACAAACCCAATTCTTTCAGCCTTCCTTCATAGGTCATGTTCTCTACACCTTTAATCATTCTTGTTGCTCTTCTCTGGACCCTCTCCAATTTCTCCGCATCTTTCTTGAAATGCGGTGCCCAGAACTGGACACAATACTCCAGTTGAGGCCTAACCAGCGCAGAGTAGAGCGGAAGAATGAGTTCTCGTGTCTTGCTCACAACACACCTGTTAATGCATCCCAGAATCATGTTTGCTTTTTTTTGCAACAGCATCACACTGTTAACTCATATTTAGCTTGTGGTCCATTATAACCTCTAGATCCCTTTTTACTGTACTCCTTCCTAGACTGTCTCTTCCCATTCTGTATGTGTGAAACTGATTGTTCCTTCCTAAGTGGAGCACTTTGCATTTGTCTTTATTAAACTTCATCCTGTTTACCTCAGACTATTTTTCCAATTTGTCCAGATCATTTTGAATTATGACCCTGTCCTCCAAAGCAGTTGCAATCCCTCCCAGTTTTGTATCATCTGCAAACTTAATAAGCACTTTCTATGCCAATATCTAAGTCATTGATGAAGATATTGAACAGAGCCGGTCTTAACTTAAAAGATTTGACCAAACAGGAAAAAATAGATTCATTCATTCAGAATGGACCATTGTAATTCTCTAGTCTGAAACAGCATATCCTTTCTGAGTGAAGGGATTTTCACCCTGAGGGACAGCAAGTTGTGTTTCCACGCACTTCTCTCTGGAACCAGGGAAGGGCACCTTTAAATTCCAGGAGAAGCTGCCCAGGCACTTTGCTGGAAGGAGACACTAAGAGGAAGTAATCAGTCTGTTCACTCCCCAGTCACTCTGGCCACAGCAATTTCCGGGCCAGTATTAGGAATCAGGAACTGTAGCAGAGCCAGTCTCTGGGCAGCCTAATGAGCACCAGCAGGCCTGTGGTAGGCTACCTAACTGGCTACACTGCCTGATTGGTTGGAAAGGTCAGCAGATCGGCTCAGAAGACCAGCAGCAGCAGTTCAGTGGCTGTTCAAAGCATTCATCCATGTGCATAGGTGCCAACTCCGTGGGTGCTCCAGGGCTGGAGCATCCACAGAGAAAAATTAACGGGTGCTTAGCACACACTGGCAACCAACCTCCAACCTCTCCTCCCCCTGCCAGCGCCTCTCTCCCACCGGTGGCCCCACTGATCACTCCTTCCCTCCCTCCCAGCGCCTCCTGCCCTCCATGAACAGCTGTTTCACAGCGTACAGGTCAGCTCTAAGAGGGATGGGGAGGAGAGGGGATGGAGCACGCTCAGGGGAGGGGGCAGAAAGAGGCGTGGCAGGGGCAGGACCTGGGGTGAAGGGGGACGTCGAGCACCCCCAGGATAGAGGGAAAGTCGGCGTGTATGCCCACGTGATAGCTCCTGTGCCTGCTTGTCCCTAGCCATTTCCCTGCGTTGGCTCACTCCAGGTATCCTGATTCTGAGCCTTGGCGCCAATTCCTGACACCTGACTTCAGCTCTGACCCTTGACTCTGACATCTGGCCTCTGACTCTGGTTCTGACCCCGGGCTCTGATTCCTGGCTACTGACCCCTGCTCTGACCACGAGGTCTGACTCCTGCTCCAGCTAGGCACAACTTCCCACATCCCAGTCACTGACAGCCTGCATCATTGAGCTTTTGGACTGCATGACTCTATGAAGTTCTAAAATCAGTGATAATACTACATGTGCAGTTCTCCCAACCCCTCTAGTGGAAGAGAGACTGTGATCACTCTCTGAAGCAACAACCTCCTCCCCTGGTAGACTTTTTGCTGCCAGAGACCTGAGCCAGGACTTATGCTGGCAGAAAATGATTAAATCATAGGTGAATCCGGCCCTTAAATAGCATGTGCAGTTATTAATGAGTGCGCAACAATCTATACCAGAATATCAAAATTTTGAATCGTGTGGGCAGCACAGTCCAGAGCAAATATGTACCTTGAATGTATCTGCAAAAGCATGGGCTTTGCCTTTCCAGAGTACTTTATCTTAATTATATGAAAGTGAGGCTTAGTGCCTGTGCTGAGAAAACTAATAGAACACAGCCAAAGGGAAGGACAAAGATGGAAAGTGGACTGTATCCAAGCACATGATCAGAGTTGGGCTTCAGAGAAAAAATTCAGGGTCCAGCTTCATGTAACAATATCTGCTCCAAAATTCTCTTTGGACCTCTATAGACTTACACCCTACACTATATGCCATATCTGCTTCCCTTCCCTATGTGGAGAATGCAGTAGGAGCTATGGTCACAATGGTAGTCAGGCTGAATACAAGGATAGGAACAATGGAAGGCCACATGAAGACAGCTGGCAGGGACTGCAGCATGAAAAAAAAGCACTGGAAGATATTAAAGAATTCTCAAGGAATTAATCTGCAGTTAGCAAGGAAGTGAAACTTCCTGCTACTAATAGTAACAACTATAACCCTTCTGCCAGGTGCCAACAGCAGCAACAAGGGCTGGTTTCAATCTGTCTCTGGGTCCTTCTTTAAAATAAATGAAAGTAAGGTTTGAGCCACCCACCCAGAGCTGGACTCTATGTCTGGGTCTGGGAAATTAAAATATAATATCCCCTGGTTGCTTTTCTAGGTGGTCCTCCCCCATTCGCAAGCAGTCAGGAGTCCTCAGGAACTTGGGACCAAAAATGCTTGTTATTTGGGTGAAAAAGGAAAAAACACATAAAAGAAGGACAAGTATCATAGATATATTTATATATGACAAAATGAGCAAAACCCAATCCGTGTATCAGGAGTATGGCCAACAGTTCCCAGTATTAATTGTCTGGCTTGTTGAGGTCTAAAACTCTTAGTCACAAAGCAATCCCCACCCACCTGAAACCCTACTCACAGGTCCAGTTAGACTCAATGGTAGTCAGGAGCATCTGGAGGTGGTTCTATCTGTCTGCTCCAGTCCAGAGAAATCTGAACAAGCAAGTTCTGCTCTGACATGTAGCTATCTGGTCTAGTTTTATGACATCAGCTCTGTCATTGCTGGTCTGATTAAGCCTTGCTACAAAGCCAACTCTGCTCCACTGCTGCTGATCTAGTTGGACCTCACTGCAAAATCAAGTCAGCATTGTCACCACTACAGGTGCAAGTCGAGCCTCACCTGGTCTGGTCCAATCCCACAGAATCAATCCATCCACAGTTCAGAATCTCCAGGTAGAGAACCTAGAACAAAACAAGACCTTTGGTAAGAGTGCTTACTCCCTAGAATAGCACTCCGAGTCTCCAAGACAGAAACTTCTATCCTCTCCTCATTGACGTTGATTCTCATTTCCAAATCAGGGTCCACTACCTGTAAATTCAGCGTGATCCACTTATTCCAGTGTATATCTTGCACAATGCCTGTGTCCTTTCATGAGTACACATACAAGAATAATCCAGTATCATTTATACAATCAGAACATTGACAAATTCCAGTTAAAAACAACTAAACACACTATGTGGAACTATGGATAAGCATCTTTATAATTCATGTAAATGAGGCTGGCCAGATCAGTCTTTTCCCCTATACAGGGAGCAGATAGTTCCATCCTTCTAAGCCTTCTAGCTCTGGGGCTTACACAACCTTTATTAAAAGAATCACTGTGAAACTTTGGTTCATTTAAAATTCTTTTCCAGTGTGATATGTGATCTTCAAAATTTCTGCTCCTGCAAATGCATCCTGACCAATGAGCTGCATCCATCATGTTCCTCTTAGCTTCATGCAATGATTGACACAGACTGTTGTGAAATGTCCACTGCATATCAGTAGCACACTTCAAAACTGGCTGCATCTGAAAAATGTTACAATTTGTGTGAGTAAGGTGGGTGGAATTCTTCCCTGGGCAGAGGTCTCACCTGAGCCCTAGGTGATATATAGGTCCTGTGGGGATGGATTTCATCCATCATGAGTAAAGTCACTAAATCAGGTGCTCAGGCTTCTGGAGAGGGAAAGACCAGCTACCTACACACACACACACACACACAAGTCAGGGCCAAAGGCTCCCTCTCCAAACACTTGTGATAATTAGCTGATATTCTTCTGCTTCCCTACAGTAGGCATATTTCATAGCACCGCATCCATACTCCGCTACAAAGTATGATAGGCAATGTCAGTAGTAATAAAGAAAAATGGCAACATGAATCCAAATAGAAGAATCCTAGAAACTCCATCATGTCAGCAGTTTTCTGTCAGGCCCTAATAGAATCATTTGAGTAATTTTGTTTTCATTAATAAGATACAATGAATAATATAATCATATCAGGAAGTTTTTAAATTATATTAGGAAAAATGAGCATTTGAATGATACAATAGAAATAGGAGATAAAAAAATTGCAAATAAAAAAGAGATATTTTTGGATCTAATTCCTTTAGATATTCATGTGGCATTAGTCATGGGAATGACTTTACTGTCCATGCCACTGCATTTGATACACTGCCTGTAGTTATCTGGAAATGGCAGGCATCTTTGTCATTCTAGTATGTTTATATGTTGAGAAAAGAAAGTGTCTTCTTGAATCATATATGTTTTCTCCAATAATATCCTTATTAGCCTTCCGTCTGCTCACACTGCATTACCTGGATGACTAGTGCAATATGTTTTCATTAAGAACCGAAAGCAAAATGTGGAGGCAGTGTAACTACACATACACTAGCTATCAGCAACAAATGGGACTCTTTGTGTTTTACTGCTAAAATGTGAGACTGAATGGCATGACTGAAAAGAGAGGAAGCTATTCCAGCCCGTGATGTTCTGATCCAGCCAGGTGTATGTATTTCAATCAGTTATGGATCTGTTGCTAGTTCACATGTCAAAAGTGTTATTTTATTTGTCATTTATTTAGCATCTAAAGGAAAAGTTGTTCCATCGCAAAACATCTCCAAGAGTTCAATGTTTTGCAATGCCATGCAGATTGAATTGACCAGGTAAATGCTTAGGTTCTACAGAGATGGACACTTTAGAGAACCTTGTGATCGACAAACAGATACATACTGTTGACTGCAAAAGGCAATCATGCATTCCATACATTTTACCCAAACCCATCCCTGACGCCACTTTTTTTTTAATGGCATGTCTACACACAAAAGTCGTACCGCTTTAAATATACCAATGTAGTAAAACCAGTACAATCTCCACTAATGTGGATGCAGTCATACTGCTTATGCCCGTAAAGTTTATTCCTGTAAGGAAAGGGAACTGCTATATTGGTGTAAGGCACTTTTTTAGCAAAAGAGTGGATTCACACTAAGGGTTGTACTGGTATAATTATAAAAAAAATACACACCCCTACAGAAATAGTTATACCGCTACAAAAACGGGCCATTGGTGTTATTGAATGGATTGAAAGTGAAATGTACAAATTTAATTCTAAAATAATATGACCTTCCTGCTTGATTTTAAAGCTATTATTATTATTTTATTATGTTGGTATTAAGTTATTAAGTTTCCAGGAAAAATGCTACTGTGAAGAGTTTACAATCTAAAGAATTATCATCTATTTCCTGACTTTTGTGTCATCCTTTCACCTTCCTTTTGATTTCCTCCTGAGTTACATTATTCACACTACAGCATTAACTTCTGTGACACAGACACTTTTTAAAGTGTAAATTGAACTTTTAAAATGAGGCAATTGGCCTTTTTTATGCTACCTTGCATTAAAAAATAGAAAAATTCATTAGATTAGTCAAAAAATATATCTAAATTTAGATAAACCAATTTAGTTAAAACAGTTTAAATCTCTGTGTGAACACTCTTGTTGTAGTTGCGGGTGGCTTATTTCAATGTAGCATAAGCTTATTTGTAATCAAATTAATCTAAACTGAAATAAATCCAGTTTAAACAAAAATAAGAGTGCCCACACAGTCTTTTGCACCCATTTAGCTAAACTGGGTTAAAACCACACCTTAAATTTGGTCTGTTCTATACCTTGGTGTAGCTATGTTAGTCAGGGATGTGAAAAAAACAACAACTCCCAGCAACATAGCTATGCTGACAAAATCCCCAGTGTAGACACAGCTACTGAAGAGGGATTCTGTCAGCATAGCTAATGTTGCTCAGGGAGGCGGTGTTCCTATACTGCCAGAACTTCTCCTACTGTTGTTGTACACTGTGGCTATGTCTACACTACCGCAGGATCGACGCTGCTGTGATCGATGACCCGGGGGTCAATTTAGCAGGTCTAGTGAAGACCCAATAAATCGACAGCAGAGCACTCTCTGGTCGACTTCAGTACTCCACCAGGAACAAGAGGAGTAAGGTAAGTCGACGGGAGAGCGTCTCCAGGCAACCCAGCCCAGTGTAGACACTGTGGTAAGTTGACCTAAGCTACGTCGACTCCAGCTACATTATTCATGTAGCTGGAGTAGCGTAACTTAGGTCGATTTACCGCAATAGTGTAGACATAGCCTGTGTTAACACTAGGGAGATATACCACCATACCTATGCTGGCATATGCTCCGTAGCGTAGACATAGTCTTAAACTGTTACAACTCTGCATATAGTCATATCAGCTTTAAAAAGTTTCTGCCCTTCATCCATCTAAGTAGAACTGGACAGATACAGAAGATGGCCCATTTTACTGTTGTTCTCAAACACTCTTACCAAAGATATTTTGGGGAAGGAGATTTTATGTGCAAGGATGTTCACAGAAAGCAAAATTGTCACAAATACTAGCCCAAATAAATATCTGTCACATGGCTATTCTTATCTGATGTGCTCTCATAGCCAGTCTGCAAAGCACTCTATTAATTGCACAACAGCCTGAAGACTGGTCCTGTTTATAATCTGGGAATTCAAAAGGAGACTGTGGAAAGCAGGTTAAAAGTCACCTAAATCCAGTGGCATTATTTCTGTTCCTGATTCGAAGTCACAGGGCACTCAGGAAAATTAATCCAAATTAACTAAAGGTGTGAATTCACTTTGGTAGTGAATTGAAGCAAATTGAATTAAGGTCGTTTGAATTTTGAATAAGAGTATCCACATAGGGGTTTAATGCAGTTTAACTAATGCACTTTAAACATTATTTCAGAATAATTTCCCTGTGTGTCTCCATGTAGACAAGCCCAGAAATTTATGTCTGAAATTTTCAAAGGGAGTTAGGTGCCCAATTCCCAATAAATGTAGACACTGACTGTAAGCCCTTTGGAGCAAGTACTGTCTTTGACAATAAGTCTATACAGTGCCTAGCATAATGGGTCCCCGACCTGGTTGGGGCCTCCGAGTGCTGCTGTCCTGCATAATAATAAGTTGTGAAAAAGAACCAAATATTTACAAAATATGTTTGTAAAACAGCCCCTATATCCTTTGCAAAGTTTCTGATGTATATTCCCCCTGAAAAAATATCAATGGATCACATGGCATTGGAGTCAGGCTGCTGACTACACAGAAGTGTAATGATTTTCATCAATCTCTGGAAGCCTTACACAAGCCGTGGAAACATCCTGGAACAATACACCTGTCCCTGGGACAGATACTGAAAAATAATTACTCATTCCTTTCTGTTCTACTTCCAGATGCTACACAATGGCTGCTAATAAAGATGCATGGCCTTTTATGTCATCCATCTGTGTTTCCAAAAGCAGATATGAACCCATGTTTTCCACTGAGTCTGCTCTCTATGTAGAGGAACTTAAACCTGGGAAAGACAACAAAACCTTTATGTGACCTTTACTTGCTTAAGTCATGTGTAACATTCCTGCTAGTTTGTCATATAATGTAGGTCAGTTCTGAATTAACATAGGCATCTTAACTATTATATGGTTAGCAAGTGTGCTACATTTCCCAGTCAGGAATTGCTGCTAATATTTCTCTTTTAGTTGAACCTGGATAGTAAGATAATAAAAGTGCCATTTTATTGTTATTTATTGTTATTACATTGCCATTAATTTTAATCATATAATATGTTACGTTTCATATCAAAGGTAATGAGACAGAGAGGTTGACATATGGGGATTTACATGCCAAAATGCTGGTTTGATCATCCAAATTTGGGTCCTATAAAAGCACACAATTTTCAGAATAGTGCTGCTTGCTAAATGACTCCCGACCACCCCAAAAATTGCAGCCACCCTCTGGCAACTCTTTAACAGGCCACAGCAACTCAACAATTCAGTGTAGACTACAAAAGGAATAAGAATAGGGCCACATCCTCACCTGATGTAAATTGGCATAGCTCCACTGAAGTCA